GCGAGGAGAGCTGCAGACGCTTCGTGTGAAGTTCAGGGTTCTGTAGCAGCCCAGAGTGTGGAAAGCCCAGAGCCACACCTGAGGCGTGCCCGGTGTCCCCAGGGGTGTTCGGGCAGTGCCTGGCACACACCATGGCCCAGGAGCAGAGGTTTGGGCAGCAGCTGGTGCCCATGGTGGTGCAGAAGAGCGCCGAGTTCATCCTGGAGCACGGCGTGGCCGAGGAGGGGATCTTCCGCCTGCCCGGCCAGGACAGCCTGGTGCGGCAGCTGCGCGACGCCTTCGACGCCGGGGAGAGACCCTCCTTCAGCAGGTGACACTGCTGCCCCGTCCCAGGGCCACCCTGAGCCCTGCGGGAACGAGGAACCCTCCAGAGGGGTGTGGGGGGAGAGGGGGTCCAGCAGGAACCGCCCAGAAGGGTTTTAGGAGGAGATGGCATCCAGCAGGAACCTTCCAGAAGGGATCAAGGAGGAGAGGATGCATCAGAAACCTTCCAGAAGGGCTTGGGGAGAAGGAGATCCATCAGGAACCTTCCAGAGGGGTGTGAGGAGGAGAGGGGATCCATCAGGAACCTTCCAGAAGGGCTTGGGGAGGAGAAAGAATTCAGAAGGGCTTGAAGAAGAGAGGGGATCCAGCAGGAACCTTCCAGAAGGGCTTTAGGAGGAGATGGGATCCAGCAGGAACCTTCCAGAAGGGATCAAGGAGGAGAGGATCCATCAGGAACCTTCCAGAAGGGGTTGGGGAGGAGAAAGAATTCAGAAAGGCTTGAGGAAGAGAGGGGATCCATCAGGAACCTTCCAGAAGGGCTTGGGGAGAAGGAGATCCTTCAGGAACCTTCCAGAAGGGCTCAAAGAAGAGAAGACACAGCAGGAACCTTCCAGAGGGGCTTGAGGAGGAGACCATCCATCAGGAACCCTCCAGAAGGGGTTGAGGAGGAGAGAGGATCCAGCAGGAACCTTCCAGAAGAGTTTAACCTGGAATGGGAGAAGGGTTTTGCTCCCTTTTCCTTGGTTCTCCACTTCTGTGAACGCAGGGACAAGAGCCAGGGTGGTGCTCCAGAACTGCAGCTCGCACTGGCTAAACGTGGGTGAAGAAAAGAGATTTTAGGTTCTCCAAGCAGGGCAGGGAGGTGGAGGCTAAATGTGGGTGAAGAAAAGAGATTTTAGGCTCCCCAAGCAGGGCAGGGAGGCTGAGGCAGTCCCCAGCCGTCCCTGCTGGCTCTCAGTGTCCCTTGCTCCCTGCAGGGACACCGATGTCCACACCGTGGCCTCCCTGCTCAAGCTGTACCTGCGGGAGCTGCCCGAGCCCGTGGTGCCCTGGCCGCAGTACGAGGATTTCCTGCTCTGTGGGCAGGCTCTGGAGGCTGACGAGACAAAGGTACAGCTGCTTTTGTTTTCCTCTTCCCAGCCTTAAAATCAGTTGTAGTGCCAGGGCACGCTCTGAGCTGCAGGGCACTTAACAAGGCTTTGGAATCTGGGGAGAGAAAAAGGGAAAAAATTTAAAAAGAAAAACTCCCCCAAAGCCAGTGGGGGTTTCTCAGCTTGGCCGCAGGGGTTTGTGAATTTTAAAGCGTCAATTTCTGCTTCTCTTTGGGGTTAAAAATGGCCTGGATGTCCACAGGATGCTGGAGGAGGTGAGGCAGGATCAGCTCTTCCCAGAGCTCGGGCTGGGCTGGGCTGGGCTGGGGGGACCCCGCTCCTGCTGGGGCTGCCCCTCCTGGCTGAGCCCTGCAGAACATCCCAGGGAGAGATGGAGCTCCAAGGGCAGCAAACCAGGAGCACCAGAGTCATAGAATACCTGAGTTTGGAAAAGATCCCCAAGATCATCAACCACCCCTCCAGGGTCACCCCGAGCGCCACCACACGTGTTTGGAGCTGTCCCAGGGCTGGGGACACGGGGAGACCCCACACGGGCATGGCTGGGTGAGCAGGAGCAGTTCTTGGCTCCTGGGGACCCTCCTGGAGCTGTTTGTCACCGTGCAGGGCCACCAGGAGCTCCTGAAGCAGCTGTCCCTCCTCCCCAGAGACAACTACAACCTCCTGAGCTACATCTGCAGGTCAGTGCCCTGCACGGGCCGGGGGCAGCTCACAAATGGCACCCCAGGGATGGCCCCTCCAGGCAGAGCCTCCCTGGGCTGTGCTCGGCTTCCCTTTGAGCCACCAGGTGCTGGTTTGGGCAGAGCAGAATTCCAGCCCCTGGGATGAACCCCCGGGAATGTCTGAGCACGAATCCCCACCCTCAAAGTCACCCAGAAATCCCTGGGAATTCAAACCAGATGTAGCTTTCCTGGACAAAAGCCCTGTGCACCAAAACCTCCAGGTTTCACCAGGCTGGGATTTGAGGAGGGGGTTCCCTTCCTTGCTGGGCTGTTTCCGAGGGGAGCAGCTCCTCATTTATTCAGTCCTGAGGGTTTCTGTCCTTGTGACTGAGAGGAAGAGCTGGGAGGAGGAATCAGGACTTTTTCACCAGGATTTTTTGCCAGATCCCACCTCTGAAATGTGAAATATTCGCTGTGGAATCCTGGCAGGTTTCTCTACGAAATCCAACTCAACTCCAGCGTCAACAAGATGAGTGTGGACAACCTGGCCACAGTGATGGGGGTGAACCTGATCAGGCCCAGGGTGGAGGACCCTGCAGCCATCATGAGAGGTAAAAGGGAGCAATTTCATACCCTTGAGAATATGGAATATTTTGAGGCATATGGAGGAATTTCATATCCTGGAGGATATTTCAATTTTGAGGCATCCACAGCTTCCGAATGAAAGATTTTCTGTGGTGGAGCTGAAAGAAAGGCAGAAATGTGCCAGGGCACAGAGGGAAGCTGTGTCTGTTGGGCTGTAAATGTGTTTGTGGTGACAAAAAACCCCTCAGGAACTGACAAAGTGACAAAAGTCACTTGCTGAGGTCACCTCTGAGCTGCTCAGAGCAGGAAGGTGTAAAATCCTT